CCAGAATTTTCATATGTTCTAAGAGTTGGTTCTGACTGAATTTTCTTCTCCTGTGGAGTTAATCAAATAGAAAACATGAGAAGTTCCCTGAAAAGCTGTTTTATTTTTTAGTTTGATATTTCTCCATGATACAGCATAAAACTTAACCATAGGATTTACTCATTCATGAGCTGAGTATATGCTTAATACCATTTATTAAAAATGGACTTAAGATTTCTGCAAGATAAATAGACTGAAATGTGGAAACTTAAGTTTCATCCATACATGTAGCATAATTTTTTTGTTGATTCCATTTGTTGGGTGCTCTTAAATATTGGGTCCAGTATTAATACAAGAAGAGTATACATTGAACCTTTCTGCCCTTGATAATAGGGGAAATGCTGGTTGGGTGTTTAGTTTAGTGAACTTCCATTTTCCTCAACACATAGAACAGTTTATAGAATACATAGTTTTTTACTTATGTCCTTCCTATAGACATTCTAGGATGTGTATTTTAAACTTCTGAGCTACTTTAATAATAAATTGATGTCAGAAATATGCAAAAATGATGTTTCTGACAATGTGGAAGCATAGGAATAATCTCAAAACATTTTTATTGAGTCCAATTATTTTAACTTAGGCTGTGTCTATATAAAGCTTTTTTGACTAAATGGAGCTTTTCTTGGCATTGTATAGACATAGCTTTTGATGTAAATTGCAAGAACACCCATAACCTGTTCTGTGTACATTTTTTTTCATTCTCATCGGATGCATCAAACATGCAGCAGTAATAAACCAGATTCTACTCAGGTGTGTGAGAGCACTTGCCTCAAGTTCATTTTTTCTCTAGTGTCTATATCATTAGCTACTATGAACACAGATTGATCTCAGCTTTTTAGAAGACGTTTCTTGAAGCACATTTTTAAGCATTTTCATATTTATAAAAACTAACCTAACAAAAAGATGTGGGGGTGGGAGCATTGTGGATGGGCATCACCCACAGTCAAACCACCCTACCCCTGTCATAACTTACCATTTTGACCGAACAGTATACTAAATTGGGAGTTTTATTTTACAAGTCATTGCTATTCTGGCTTCATATTTACACTTCCATTCTCATCCCCCTTAAAATCATTCTTGATCATCCTGTTTTCTTTCAACAGCTTCAGAGGATGATTCCGAAGAAGATGGAGACCATAACAGAACATTTGATATTGCCTAACTTCGTAAAAGACAAGTGGATGATCTGTGAACAAGTGTTTATTAAAACTGGCAATTAAATATGAATTAATTTTGTGGGGGAATGCCTATTGAATACATTGACTATATATATATATATGTGTGTGTGTGTGTGTGTATATATATATATATTCATTCTCAAGTATTGCTGAATTAAAATTCTGCTGGACCTTTTAACATGGCCAGTGAATCTGATGTTTATAAACTGGTAATCAAAAAGTATTTTTCTTTTAGGTGAGTGGGAAAGTGTTACCCTTGTTTTAGATATCTAAGCAATGCTGATGACTCTTTTTTGTGTTCTGATTACTGTAGTCATATTTATGAAAAAAAGGTTCATGTTTTAGTCTCTTGCTAGTGAAAAACATGGGACAAAATATGCTTTTGAAATAAAAATGGCAAATGGCACCTATTTTTCCTTTCAAAATGCCTTACACGTTGCAGTCTCATTTTCATAATCATTTGCTTCCAGTGTTTCTAAAAAATCAGCTGGGGAGTAAGTTATGAAAGCATATATATTAGGTTTCCAAATTTAATATGAATTATAAATTCACTTAGCAATAAAATCTTAATTTTTAAAAATATATAAGTATAAAATGTATAAATGATGGATAAACTTTTATATTGATTTGCAAAATGCAGATTATATTTGATAGGCCATAGTATGTAGATATTCCTTTTAGGAATATTACAGCTGTAAAATATATCAGAATTGCCCCTCAAATGCTATTTGGGAAAAAAATTATTGCAATCTCAAGTTAACAGAATATTTTTAATCCCACATTTAAAGTTTAAAACACTGGTTTTCAATGTGTTTTTTAGTGTTGTCACTTCTTTATAGATAAATATGATATAAATAACCTGTTTGGATCCTGGTCGTTTTTAACTGTTCCTTGGTAATTTTGAGCATTTATTTAGTGACTTAATATTTTTCACGACTTTTGGAGAACAGATGGACATTACCTATTCACCATGAATAGATCTACACTGTGGTCATGAGTTGTGTATACTTTCATAACACTGTATATTTCCTCTGTCAACACCCTTAGCATACACTTTTAAACACCTTCAGGTGGTTTCGGATTAAAGTCTTAGGTTACGCCAACGAACTACATTTTCAGAACCTAAGTAGAAACCATGTAATTTCTGAAATGTGAATCAACAGTTTGCCCACACGTAGTTTGTTGGTCTTAATGTAAAAACCTTGGCTGGAAATAAAGTGCATACTGATTGATTTACTTACTTTATAGTTTGAAATGTTTCCTTTTAAATTGGTGCTCAGAGTAGACTTCAAACCTTAGAGCCAAGAACTTTATTAAATAAAATACTGTTTCATATAAAAATATATAACTGTTACTAAAACATTTGCTCAACTCACAGGTTACCTTTGCATTGCCTTAAAGAAAAAATAGAAAATTTAAGGATGCCAGTTTCAGTATCTATTGTCCAGGTCTTTAGGGATGCTTTGAGTTTGAAACATTGATACTTTTAATAGAACTCAGCATGAAAATTAAGTATCTTCTGCTTAACCCACAAAACTTTTTATTTAAAAATTTAAATAGTAGAAAACATTCCATTGGCATGCAGTTTATAGTTTGGTTATATGAAATGCTTAATGACAGATACACAGTGGCTTGAGCTTTATAGTATTCTTATTAGTGCCTTAGTACCACTTACTGTTTCATATGTCAGTATTGTATAAGCTTCCAATATCCTGTAAGTATGAATTAGAGGGAATAAGGAAAGTCTTTTCACTGGTTGTTACTTTTAAACCCTAAACAGAGACCATATGCTATTCACTACAAATTGTAGAATGCAAATTTCTAGGAAAATGAAGTTGTAATACTGTTCTCTCTAGATACTTGGCCAAACCTAAGAATTTATATTGTCCTTATTAGCTAGAACCAAGATGTTCAAAAAAGAAATTTATACATTTTGAATGTAAACAAGAACTTTGTTATTCTTAATGTTAAAAATAAATACAGATTTGAACGTTCCAGTTAGCTGTGGATCACCGAATAGATACAAGGGCTGGTTACACATGTTCTGATACGTGAAGAAAATTAAGATTTACTACTTCACTACCAGGGACCTCAAGAACTTACTTAAAAGATGAAATCAAATGTGGAAAATTAAATCAAGTTAAAGCAGCCATTTTGGAAGAGCTACCACTGGGTAGAAGTTACCAAAATGAACAGAAGAAAATTAGTTGTATGGGAGTTAAGTAGAAGGGGAGATTTTAAAGCAGCACTGTCCGACAAAACTTTGTGATAATGGAAATGTTTTATAATTTGTTTTGCCCAATATGGTAGCTACTAACTACACGTGTTTTGAGCATTTGAAGTGTGCCTCATGCAACTAGGGAACTGAACGTAAAGTTATATTTAATTTTAATTTATTTAAATAGCCACATGTAGCGTGTGGCTACCATATTGGACATTGTAGAAATTTGACTATTAGAGAAAATTTTAAGGAAGAGTTAAGATCACTCCTAGTTCTTAAAGGACTGGTAGAACTTGAATAGAAAAAGGAAGGAATTCCAGTCTGTTTACTATTTGTACCACTCATAATAGCTTGTCAGTAATAAAATAGATAATATCCAAGATCTCAGAAGTTTAAAGCTCTTATAGATTATAATTCTTTCGTGTACTACAGCTAGTGTAACATCTGCTCGTTTAGTACCACATAGCCACACTGTATAGTCCTGTCATCACTTCGTAGTTTTTCCTGTGTCAGTAAACAATAGTGCCATCAATTGTGATGAAGGATGTTATTCATAGTGCCAGTGTGGGACTTTGTTGCCATTGGTCAAGCATGAGAGATAGTGTATCTTCCCTTCAGTATTCCCCATAACTGATGGCATGTGGTTAGGGAGAGAGATGACTTCTTTGAGCTTCCAAGTTTCTAAATAGAGTAAATCTAATTTTATGTGAACCCTGCATATTCTTTATCTTTAAGCTGTAAAGGGTAAGGAAAACCACTCTTGCTTCTGAGCTTTCATTTTCATTTTTTACCCCCAAAATGATTTTCACCTTTTCTTAAAATGTACGTTTACTGAAGACTTTGAGCATCACCACTACGGTAGTATGTAGTGTTTTTCTAGAGTTTTTGCTTACATAGTTTTCATGTCATTGAATGGCTAGTTCGTCAGTAGTTGGAGAGCATGAGATACCTTAGATAGGAACAGATCTGGCGGTAGGAGAAGAATCCTTAAAGGGGCTCCGTGGTACAAGTGCTGGCCTTGCTGCCAGCCGCCTCCACACCTTCCTGGTATAGCTGTAATAATCTTCCTGTTGCAAAAAATGTATGAAATTTTCCTGAAGTTCTAACCATTTGTGATCAGTGCTAAATACTATTTCTCCAAAGTGATGTTCTAAAAGTAATGAAATTGTAAAATTATGTGGAATATGGGCTTCTTAAAATCTACAATATTTTCTACATCTAACTCAAAAAGGAAGATAAAATATATTAGAGGAATCATCTGCCATAGTAAATAGCATGTGGATCTATTTAACAGTCTTTTATTTCCCATAGAAACTGGTAAAGACCTGGTGATTGTAAAACTACAGTGGTAGGTAGAGTTTTGTTTTTGTTTTGTTTTGTTTTAATTCACCTATAACCCACGGTGGTTCAGTTAAATGGGAAGGAAGATAGAGCAGTAGACTGGGTTTTTACTTTTATCTGCTTTACTACTTTGGGCTTTATTTAAACTGTTTCAAGTGAAGGGTGCATTTAGGGAAGTGGTTAAAACTACTAAATTATATCTATGATTATTTCTTTTTTATAAGTTCTTATAAGAACCTAAAGATCAATTTTTGTCACAGTGATTACATGAGAATAATGAATGTTACTGGAATAAGGAAATAAACCATAAAAACTAATTTTCATTGCCAAGTTTTACATTAAAATCCTGCACAGGAATCACCGTCAAAGTATTTGACGCCTTAATCTGAGATTTCCAAAATCTTAGTCAAATTGAACAGCATACTCGTTTTCTTCTGCAACTACCAAAACACAGTCGTCGTTATAAGGTGATTGGGGTGCAGTTGAAAAAACTGTGGTGAAACCAGAATCCGAGTTTCTTTTGTACAGGAACCAAACGATTGCTCCCAAAACTGTCAAAATTACTGTGCTAGCAATCACCAAAGCTGATATTAAAATGTGGTTATCTGAAAAGGAAAAGACAAAATATATATATATGGAAATCACTTACTGGTATTGCACTTGGGGGAGCACAAATATAGTTTCATCATGTACATATTTGCCTATTTTAAGGATTTTCCCACATTGATAAAAATAAATTATACATTATGCTTCTTAGCTTGAACAACTGTCATTCAAGATTTCAACCAAGGTTTACAATTTGCCACTCTACTGTGAGATCCTAAAATGGAAATCACCTACACTCAGGGTATACTACAGTTCTATTTGTCTCCCTTGGGTTTTACTTTATATTTACTGCTCTTTTCAAGACTAGTTGTCTTTAGAGGTTTGTTTACATTAATGAGGCTTATTGGTTCATCTGGTGTTTGGCATTTAAAATTTGTTCCACTGAAAACAGGAATGGCAGTAAGAGTATCCTCCCCCCGCCTTTTTTTTAATAAGATTTTTTATTTGAGAGCGCATGAGTTGAGGGAGGGGCAGAGGGAGGAGCAGACTCCCTACTGAGCAGGAGATACAGGGCTCCATCCCAGGACCCTGAGATCATGACCTGAGCCACCCAGGCGCCCTTTTTTTCTTTTTTTTCAAGTATCTATGTGTGTATTCCTTAGTTATGTTCAACCTTAACAGTTCTTGGCTATTCAAAACCCTTGTAATCTTTCAGTAAGTGCAGGGAAATTAACTCAGTTTAGGAGTTAGGAAGAGGTAAATGCTTTGGGGGGAAGGTTATTTGTATTGCATTTAGTAGCACCCAAAAGTATGTCCAAGAAATCTCAAATTATTTTCTCTTTACAAATGTATTTTTACATTATGGTTATTCGAATGTACTTATATCCTCCTTTAAGCTATGCCTTTTAAAATGATAAAATGTAAAGATTAGCAAAGAAAATCTGGCCAAAAGTTACTTGTTAAAGTGAGAGAGCCATTGATATTTTTAAAATATTGACAGGCTTCTTTAAAAAAATAACACAGGAGGAGTTGGGTAAATGGCCACAGCTGAATTCTCTCCTTTTTGGTCCTAAAAAAAAAAGTTTGTAGTGGTCACAATTTGTTAAGGTGTGGGTTGTATTCTTATTGGAGACCCTCAGATAAAAAAATGTGTATCAAGAAAGTGGGGCACATTATAGTTAAACATTTATGAAATACGTATTTTTTTAATGAATTCAGAGTCCACTCTGGATCAAATGTTGCCAGATCTTTCAGCTACTCCTAATAGGGTTTTGAGAACCACTTAGACCTACCAACTCTTTTCTACACATTTCTATCTGCATATATCCTCTCTCCCCCCCCACCCGCTGTATACATGTACATAGCTTAAAATTCATAGTTCTACAAGATACGTAACAAAAATCCTGTGCTCCTCCTGCCCTACTGCTCACCCTGCATTCCCATTCCTGGTAACTTTTGTCATTTGCCTCCATGCTTAAAATAACATGCTTACACGGCTTTTCTTGATTCAGTTTTTTAATGTCAAATACACAAAATGCACCATCTTAACCATTTTTAAGTTGACAGTTCTATAGCATTAAGTACATTCACGTTGTTGTGCTGTGTCACCATTTATCCATAGAACTCTTCATCTTTCAAAGCCGAGACACTGTATATATTAAACGCCCCATTCTTCCCGCCCCTCCCATCAGCCAGCATTTTACCTTGTGTCTATAAGGTCGACTACTCCAGGTACTTCATGTAATTGGAATGAAATCGTATTCGTCCTTTTGTGACCAGCTTATTTCACTTAGCAACTAATTTCTTCCAAGTTTGTGTATGTTGCAGGATGTGTCAATTGCCTTTTTAAAGGCTAAATGTTAATATAGCCGTGTTTTGCTTATCCATTCATCTGTTGATGGACACTTGGGTTGGCAACTTCCACCCGTGGCTGTTGTGACTAATGCTGCTCTGAACATGAGTGTACACATCTCTGATACCTCTTTTCACTTATTTCGGGTATATACCCAGAAGTGGAGTTCCTGGATCATAGGTATTTCTATTTTTAGGTTTTTGAGAAGCTACCATACTGTTGTCTGTACCATTTTACATTCTTACCAGTAATGCACTAATGCACAAGTGTTCCACTTTCTCCTTATCTTTGCCATCATTTGTTTTCTGTTTTCTTGTTTTTGTACATAGCCAACCTAATGGCTATGAAGTGGTGCCTGCCTTGATTTATTTTTTTTAAGTAAGCTCTACACCCAACGTGCTTGAACTCACTTACCCCAAGGATCAAGAGCCACATAATCTGCCAACTGAGCCAGCCAGGTGCCCCTTTGCTCTTTTTGATTTTTTTTAAGATTTTATTTATTTGTCAGAGAGAGACAAAGGAACACAAGCAGGGGGAGTGGGAGAGGGAGAAGCAGGCTTCCCGCGGAGCGGGGAGCCCAATGCGGGGCTGGATCCCAGGACCCTGGGATCATGACCTGAGCCGAAGGCAGCCGCTTAATGACTGAGCCACCCAGGTGCCCATTTTTTATTTTTATTTTTTATATTTATTCCTATGGAAGAGTGAGAACATGATTCTCCAATATCTACATGAACTCTCAAACACTCCTTTCCTCCTCTTCCATCATGGTTCTAGCAAGCCCTAAACTGAGAGAAAAAATATCCACGATACATGTGACAACTCATATCCGGAATTTAAAAAAAACAAAAAAACTACCAATCAGGAAGGCAATCCGATTAGAAATAAGGACAAAAAATCTGAAGAGGCGTATCACAAAAGAACATACTGAAATGGTTAATAAGTGTGTTAAAGTGCTTAACATTATTCGTCAGGGAAATGAAAATTAAAATGACAGATTGCTACACATAACATCTGCATGGCTAAAATCAGGTTGACTTTCATGGGATGGATGTGTAGAGTGAATAGAACTTGCATACACTGACAGCAGGAATGTAACAGTTCAACCACTGAAAAATTATTTGATGGTTCTAATAAAAGCTAAACGTATTAGCTATCCTGTGACCTTGCAATTCTACTCTGGAATGGACTCCAGGAGAGTGACAAAACAGGTCCAAATGAGAATGTTCACGAGCAGCTCTTACCATAGTACCAAACTGGAAATGATCCACACACACATGACTACAGATTGGACAAACTGTGATATAAATACTACGCAACACTAAAATAGATACAGTATATACCCAACATGGGTGAATCTTAAAAAAAAAACTGAAAGAAGCCAGTAGAATTACATTTATGTTAACAAGTAACTCTAAACTATGGCGATAGAACTCAATAGTGGTTAACTAGGATAGATGGTGGTAGGAGCTACATTTATTGGGAAAGGGCATGAGGGAAATTTTTAATGTAACAGAAATGTACTGTATCTTGATTTGAGAGATAGAGTTAGCCAGGTGTCTACAGAGGCAACCGTCAAACTATACACTTAAGATCTGTGCAACTTACACCTCAAAGAGATTAAATGGGGTGCCTGGGTGGCTTGGTTAAGTGTCCAACTCTTGATTTTGGCTCAGGTCATGATCTCAGTTGTCAGATGGACCCCTGTGTCTGACTCCACGCTGACCATGGAGCCTGTTAAGATTCTCTACCTCTCCCTCTTCCCTCTGCCCCTCCCGCCCTGCACATGCACACACGATCTCTAAAAAAAAATAGATTAAAAATTATACAACCAATTGGCAAAAATCCACAAGTTTTGTAACCCTTTGTTTCTGGGAATGCAAAATGGTGCAATTCCTCTTACTATATCGATCCAAGCTCTGTATCCACTTTCAACCCATTTACAGGGCATCTAATCTTTTGATAACATGTATTTGTGCAAGGCAGATTCATTGCAGCACTGTAATAGCACATGTTTGGAAACAAGCTAAGAAGGATCTGGGGCTGGTTAAATAACTGCATATCCATACAATGGAAGAGTATTCAGTTGTAAAGAAGAAGGAAGTTCAATCTATAGGTAATGATACAGAGATATATTCACTAAAATATATTAGTGAATAAAAGGGGCAAAATAAGTCCTACATCTCAGTTTGCTTATTTTGGCTAAAAGAAATAAGACATTCATTTAAAGAAAAAACTGAATTGGGTGCGCAGTAGGGAGAAAGGTAGAATAGGTTAGGTGGGGGCAGGTTGGGAGACAGACTTTTCAGGGTTTGCCTTATTATAATTTTGCTTTCTGAGCCATGTTAATATATTACCTGTTCTTTAAAAAAAATGGATTTAGTAAACCCTTAAGACAGATGCTTCATGAATTACAACTATGAGGTCAAATTTTTTTAAATAAAAGATTGCAAAGTGCCTAAAAAACAATGGAATTCAATGGGAAATATTTTTTGGTGTTTAAAAAATTTGTAATTTGGGGCACCTGGGTGGCTCAGATGGCTAAGCATCTGCCTTCAGCTCAGGTCATGATTCCAGGGTCCTGGGATCGAGTCCCACATCGGGCTCCCTGCTCCTTGGGAGCCTGCTTCTCCCTCTGCCTCTCTCTCTCTCTCTCTGTGTCACTCATGAATAAATAAATCTTAAAAAAATAAAAAAAATTCATAACTTGCAGTTAGAATGTAAAGTCATTACTAAACTAAGAGACCTTTCTAAATTCTTACAAAAGCTGTTCTACTTTATATTATACAATTAATTTTTAAGGGGTCTTTAGTATTTTAACATTTGAATCTTAATATTCCTTGTGGGAAAAATTTTTAACAAAAGACTCTTACCTGATAAATATTTCTTTTCATATGGGACTAAAATAAAAAAGAAAATTAAAATTAAAATTCAAGTATGCTTCATTCTAAGTTTGCCTTTAAACACTTTCAGAATAGTTAAAAATGAACCCCTTATTTAATAGCTTAATATTATCCATATTTCTATTGCTTGGTCAATTGTGTTTTCCATTTTGAACAAAGGTTGTTTTTGTTTGTTTTTTTTAAAGAAGATATAGAGGTCTAATGTAATGCATTAGCTTGGTTGGTGGAAAAGGATTAGGTAACTCAAGAAAAAGTGATGAGGTGAAGAAAATAGAATTTTGGCAGGAGAGTATAGAAAACAAAGCTAGTAAAATTAAAGTGTGCACCTGTGATCTTAATGGTACGGATTTGTTCACGATTTCTGATGTTTCAAAGTCACAGTTTAAAAATTTGGTTTATAATGTGCCCTGAGACTTCATACATGAAAAGAACCAACTTTTTAAAAACCCAATAAACTGGAAGTTGAATTCTACCATAAAACTATGAGAAACTTAATATAGTCACTATAAACTGTAGTTAAGAACCCTGCTGAGGCAAAAAAAAAAAAAAAGTAAAATGTAAAAGGAAAAATAGCTTTAGTTTACAGTAGAAGTAGAAGGGGGTAAATCCTAAAAAGGCAAAATGCGGAAATGGCCAATGTGTCTCAGGCATCCCAAAATCATATTTTGAAATTTTAAGTGTTTTTAATGAGAAAACAATTCTAAAACTTAGAATAAACTTTGATGTTTAACAATAACATCAAAATACTGTGGGACACAATAATTATATTCATTAGAAAGCATTCTGATGAGGAGGAGGGGACGGCCGGAGCCTGGGAGTGGTGGGTATGTGGAGGGGCAGGGGCCAGGTTTAGAGCTCACCCCTTGGGAAAAAGGAAAAAAAAGCATTCTGAGAGGTCAGAAGAAAAATTACACTTTTTTTTTTTTTTTAGAAAAATTACACTTTAATCCAGGATAAATTATAAACTACAACGCGGTTTTCCTTCATTTGTCTAAACAAAGGATGTTAGTACTTGTACAGGGTCAAATTCTTTGTAGTAAACTTTAGAATTCTGGAAGTCAAAGTATTCTTCACCATTTCTGTTAAATGCAAGGAAACTGAGGATTCCTTCAAACAACAGAAGAAATTTTTAACTTCTTGTAGGCTCTTAAGTATAAGATAGGATAAAAGTATGACTGGTTCACATGATCTAGGTCCTACCTCTGAAAGGTAAGAGAATTACATTTGACTTCTGAGAGACTCTACAGCAAACCATCCTAATATGTTCTGAAATCTCTTACTCACTCTAATTTATTGAGGCATAACTGTCCCAAAGAAAATTATTTTAAAACCAGCCCTACTTTCCCCACCCCTCTAGGAATGGAAAAAAAGTCTTCAGTTATACTTACTAGCTGCTTTACAAAGGGTTCCTTCCATAGAAGAAATTTCACAATTTCCTTTTTTCCATTCACCTGTCTTGGTGTGCAAAAAGGCACAGGTGTCAACTAGATCCTCACCATCTTCTTGGTCTGTCCACTTATCAAATGTCATATTTGACTTATCAAGCCACTTGAAACGTGCATCTGTCAGTTAAGAATATTTTCATCGTTAATGAGTTTTAAACTGTTAGAGCCATAGAAAAGGGTCTAGGATTAAAGGTCAGAAGTTACTAATGTATGTCTGGTCAAAACTTTTCATTGTAGGATTTAAATTAGGAGGAAGAATGTATCTTGTGTACAAGCACATCAAAGGTATTGGTTCAAGGAGTGCCTGGGTGGCTCGGTCAGTTAGCATCTGCCTTCGGTTCGGGTCATGATCTCGGGGTCCTGGGATGGAGATCCAAATTGGGCTCCCTGCTCAACAGAGAGTCTGCCTCTGCCTCTCTCTCTCTACCCGTGCACCCCACTTGTGCTCTCACTCTTCCTCTCTCTCTCTCTTTCTCTCAAATAAAATCTTTTTTTCAAAAAAAGGTATTGGTTGAAGAAGTTTCTATGGATGGGGTGCCTGGGTGGCTCAGTTGGTTAAGCATCTGACTCTTGATTTCAGCTCAGGTCATGATCTCAGGGTTATGAGATCCAGCCCTGTGCTGGGCTCTGCGCTGGGGATGGAGCCTGCTGGGGATTCTCTCTCTCCTCTCTCTCCCCCTTTCTCCCTCTTTAAAAAAAAAAAAAAAAAGTTCTTGAAAAGAATATAACATTTTCATGGGGAAATAGCCAAGAAAATTAAAATATTAATAGTAAACTTAGTTTCATTTCATTAATTATGTATGTACTTTTGTTTTCTACAGGGACACTAAATATATAATATTGCTCTGATAGTTCAATTACCTTTATCCCATTGTTGACACAAACACTAATATTTATGACCCTACCATATTAGAAAAATACTGAGCCTAGAACCGTATTTTAATCCAGACAAAAGAATCAACTTTGATTCTTCTGTGTGAAACACACTGAGCTGCTCAGGGAAAAAAGCTGCAGTCAGACTATACAGGTCATGTACTGGGTACAGGGTGCACACTGAACAAACAATACCCGGACACCACAGGAAATACCAACTTAGTTCAAGAGAACTGAAGAATCTCAAAGTCATCAATTTTACCATTTAAAAAAAGTGATTTCCTACAAGGGTAAATATTACTTACCATCTGTGTCAAAAAACATGCCTAGTAGGATATCATCTGAGCCTTTCCATCGCTTTTTCAAAGTATCCAGTATAAAAGCATTTTCTTCTTCATTATGTATGCTTACCATGTCTGCTCCTGGAATTATTTTTAGGTAGGAAAAAAAAAAGCATGTTTCCAGAATCAATGAAAATCACATGAAGTATATAAAAATTATGCATTATTATAATACTTGTAATAACATTACACTTTTACACCTTTTTAAGATTCAGCTTGAGAATATGCACATTTCTGAAAATATACTCATGAGAAAAGTAAAATGGGATAAATTGGGCAGAACCATTTTATACTCTTTCATTCACAGAGTCGGTAATTTACAGACAAGGGAACAAAACCTCATGCGAGGCTTGAGCAATCAACACATTTTCTGCATCTCTCAACCTCACTCTCTCCCATGACTTGCTTCCTCTAGCCCTCATGGTTTCTCCTGTCCTCACTGCACTACCGTAGGGAGGCCAAGCTCTGACAACACCCAGGAGAACTAAAAACTGTGAGGGCAAACCTGCCAGAACAGCTCCGAGACCCTGTGAAGCTCAAGCAACGGTATCTGACGGGCCTCCTTAACTGTCTGCCTGTGCCTGTTGCCCAAAGCCCCGCGCCTTCCCCTGTCTTTGTGGTCCTTAGAAAAGTGCCAGCTTTGGGAAACTGAACGAGGAGGTCCTCGCTCTCACTGGATGGTTGATCCTTCCTGGGGCTCTTTCGCACAATTCCAGAGCCAAGACCAGCAGCCATCTGTGTGTGTCACATACATTAGCTGTCGTCCTTACAGTCTAAGCACCCCATAACTGCCAGGAGTGACATGACCTTTCCGAGAGGCCTTTTAACCCTGCTTCGTAACCTAGACAAAGATCTCTCTTGCAAATTAAACATCCCACTTTCTGTACTACAGCTAATATAACTACACGGAGACACGAGGAAGAAGCCTTGCCTACTCTTAAACTACATGCTTCCAAAATCATCCTGACTTAACAAAGGCTCCTGAAAATGTCAGAATATTGTCTTAGTTCAGGGGTTCTCCACCTTGAGCAAGCATCAGAATCACCTGGACGGCTTGTTAAAACAGTGCTAGGCCACATCCAGAGTTTCAGATTCAGCCAGAGTGAGATGGGGCCTGAGAATTTACATTTCTAACAGGTTCCAGGAGATGCCGCTGCTGCTGATCCAGGGACCACACTTTGAGAATTATAGGAGACTTAAATCATAGGCTACTCTATTTATGACATCATGCTAAAGTTGATAATGATTTTCATAAGTTAACAAATGAAAAAGACAGAGCTCCTGTTACATACTGATATGGTAAAAAAAAAAAAAATTTGTATTAGGTGACCACTTCTACATCTTTTAAAAGGGGCTTGTACAAAAGAAGAAATTTAACTACAGGGGAAAGAAAATTACTATAGGGCCAAAAACTCTCCCCCAAACCATATTGTATTATTAAAGAAAAAAATCACAAACTGGGTAGACTGAAGCTCCATTATAAATAAAGAAGCAAACACCTTAATAGAAAAAAAAATTTAATTTCAAGACTGTAAAAGAATAATTCACCCTCATAGAAGCAAAGAGAACACAAGAAATGTGTGAAAAATGTAATCTCACTGATAAAGAAATGAAAATTAAAATAAGCAGACTTCCAGGCTTACAGATTAAACAGTGCTGGCCTTGGGTATAACAAAATAGGAACTCATTAAGTGTTTAGGTGGAGTAAAAATTAGTACAGCCTTTTTGGAAACAATTTGGCAAGATGTGTCAAAAACCCTAAAAACACATTATTTGACCCAGCAATCCTTAACAATTACGCTAAAACAATCATAGACTCTGTGCTAAATAAACACAATTATTAATGGTTATCACATGACAATGAAAGATTGAAAATAATGACAATGAAAGATTGAAAATAACAGCCAATATTAGAGGATTAATTAAATCAGTTATGGAATTTCTATATACCAGATTAATGGCCATTGATTAGGAAATATGCATTGTATTTTTACTGCCACAGACATTTTTAAGGGAAAATGCAGATTACAGGGCAGTTTGCCAACCATGATCCCTTTTCTTATACATTAAAAAAAAAACGTATTTTTTATAAATTTGCCTGGGGGGAAAAGCCTAGGATACTTACCAAAATGTTAACAGTCATTACATTTCCTTAGGGTGGTGCAATTTAGGGTGATTTTGATTTATTTTACTTTTAAGATTTATTCATTTCTTTTAGAGGGAGAGAGTGCGGTGGGAAGGGGCAGAGGGAGCGGGAGAGAGAGAATCTCCAGCAGACTCCCCGCTGAGCGAGGAGCCTGATGCAAGGCTTGATCCCACAGCCCCAAGATCATGGCCTGGGCCAAAATCAAGAGTCAGATGCCCAACCAACTGAGCGACCCAGGGGCCCCTGATTTTATTTTTAAAATATCTGCACATGTTTTTCCCATTTTTTAGTGATCGTGCATAAATTGTGCAATTACCAAAAATCTTTAAAAGAAAAAAAAATAATAAGACTGGCCTTTAAAATGCTTAATAATACTTTAATCCAAAGTTAGGATTCACAAGGTTCCCTGAGTCCTATCTCCATTTTTAAAAACTCTGTGATGGTTTTCTTATCCTTTTCACCTGCTTGTCTGTTAAAAGTCACACAGACTTTTCATCTGTTTTACCCTGATACTTGTATTCACGTGTGAAACGTAACCAAAGTGCCACTCTAGAAAAATTCTCAAGGGAAGTATTTAACTACGTTATAGTTTAGGCTTAAGTGTTCAGAGATGAGGTTTTCATCCTTTTCTTTGACCTTGTGGCAGCCAATGGAACTTTAATGATTCTTAACCCTGTAATCTAATTAAATACTGTATAAACTTAAATTACTGTGTCAGGCAAATAAGACACACTTTCATTTTCTTTAACAAATGACTGCATAAGTCCCTGAAGAATGCATGTGCTCAAGAAAATTTTTTTTACAATGCATTACCAGTGACAGTACCTGCTGAGATGTAATCTGGGTCTTTAATTTTTTTTTTTTAAGGCAGCGGGGAGTGGGAGAGGGAGAAGCAGGTTTCCCACGGAGCAGGGAGCCCGATGTGGGGCTCGATCCCGGGACCCTGGGACCATGACCTAAGCTGAAGGCAGACGCTTAACCACTGAGCCACCCAGGCGCCCCTTTAATTCTTTTTATAGCTAGTGACACAGCTCACAAATCACAAAAAGGAAAGGCTGAAAATATTTATTTTTTCTATTATAATGGTAACATATAAATTAAAGGTAAATGTTGCAAAATAAGAAAAATTTTAGTTTCTCACAATTATTTTCCTCTTTATGAATAATGAGTAATATCAAGTAAATTAGCACAAAGCCCTGGGAATATTTCTAAATATAGCTCTCTGCAGCCCAAAAGGTAACAAGTCACTTGTTTTCTAAATCCCTAATGACAGGTTTAAGATAGGATTTTGTACAGCTGGGAAGATTTTATAAATCCAAATGTAAATATTCTAGTATTCCTATGCTTTTTCTTCTTCACACATAGCAAACCCTGAATCCATGTCCACCTACTACTCTAAATGAAAACACTACTCTAGCCAAAAATAAATACCAGCATTATTATGAATTTTAGCTAATTTTCTAATTCATCAGTGAACTGGGTATTTCCAGAGTGGAAACAAATATAGAGGATTATCAAATAAATGGTAAGGTTAACAGAAATGTCTGAGAAAGCTTAAAAAATAATCAGGAAGATGAACTGAATTTATAAATTTTAACTGGGGAAAAGAGATATATATCTTTTTAGACAGAAGATAAATTTTATAAAGAAATTTGTACATAACAATTTAAAATTCCTAAATGGCTACCCTGCTTGAACAAGTAGAGTTAATGGACTCCGAAACAAGCAGTCAAGATCAAGTCACAAAGTTGTTGGGTGTTTCCAATTTTGTTTTGTTTTGTTGGCTAAAGAAAAATGGCAAGGACAAAAAAAAAAACAACCTCACTACACTTGAATTGTAGAAGTCAGCCAACAAGTATTAATTATGCCTCTATTTTCTAAGCAGTTGCTTACCTGCTAAAGATGTATTAAAGCCGGACAGTAAACTCTGACCTTGTGGTTCATACACGCTAATACGAGTACAGGAACATGTCTCTTCTTGGTTCTCAGCCTCCAATATAATTTCTGTTACTGAAATCTATGCCTAAGTATATGTAAAATAAGTGATTTTTTTCAAAAAAGAAAATTGTTATGGGGAAACCCCATTTAAAAAATTCCTATTATTCGCAGCACCTGGCTGGCTAAGTCGGTAGATCACATGGCTCTTGATCTCTTGCAAGTCCAAGCCCCATGTTAGGTGTAGAGATTACTTAAAAATAAAATCTTTTTTTAAAAAAAATTCCTATTATTCAATTTCTTTAAAATGAAGCCATACTGGTAGGTTGGAAATTTTGTTTTGTTTTCAAAGAACCAATATTCAACACCATTTGGCAGGTATGAGTTTCTCAAAGGGAAACAATATGAGTACTACATGGCACTTAATGGGATTAAAAACTTCTATGCTTAACGTTCATTCCTTCTATAATAAGTATGATTTGATATTCTTCCAAAATATCATATTGGTTGGTTGTCAGAAATTTTTTTTTTTTTTTTTTTTTAGGTAAAGGGCATTTCTAAATTCTGGAGTTATTAATAAGCCTAAGATAAAATTTAATAAAATGATCAAGAGATTTTAGATCTCATGCAGTCATAAAAAGCACTTCTAAAAAATCAAGGACTGTCATATCACCATCATAGATATTTCAGTTGAAAGAGACGCTATTTCACATCCTAGTTTCAGTTTGAACTTATGAGAATCACAATTAGAGGCTTAACAACAAGGATGCACTTTGGGCCAAACAGCCATATGTACAAAGAGCACCCAGACACATCTTTTTAAAAACGACATTTCTAGGGACGCCTCGGTGGCTCAGTCGGTTGAGCATCTGCCTTCAGCTCGGGTCATGGTCCCGGGTCCCAGGATCAGCCCACGTCAGGCTCCCGGCTCCGCGGGGAGCCTGCTTCTCCCGCTCTCCCTGCTTGTGTGCGCACGTTCTCTCTCTCTCATAAATACAGAAAAATTTTTTAAAAACGACATATTTATTTGAAATGTTTCACACTGTGAAGTTGTAAATCTATCTGCCAGAGAACACAGAGTGTATCTGCTAGCAAACAGCCTTTTTCTCCCTTTTCTCCAACAGACACTTCTTTACCAGTTTCACTTCATGGTCCCGTCTGACTTCTGCCCACACTGCGTACCCGAAACAGTACTCTCGAGGGCAGAAAAACAAGAGTGATTAAGAACTATGGCCCTAAAATCAGATCCGAACCTGGTTTGAATTCTGGCTCTGCCAATTATGACCGCATGACTGTGAACAAATAACTGAACTTCATTTCTCCCCTTGCTAAAAGGAGGCTAATGATAAACCACCTGATAAGTATGTTAGGATAATTAAACCCAGGTAAATATCTGACGTACCTAAGCACAGGGCCCGGCACAGAGTATGCACATTAAAAAGATACTGCCATTGCTAAGTTTCCGTCATGTAGCTTTGGACAGGATTGTCTAACAGCTGTCTTCCAACTCAAAGGTTAAATATATACCCAATTCCATTGTGTGGCTTGTATATTCTACAATAAAAATTGTTCATTTATTACAAGGACCCAGGTGAAAGTGAGATATGACAAAACCATTTTTTGAAGAAATTAGTTAAAACCATTTACGACTGTGGAAAAAAAAAAAGAATAAGCTTACCATGGTCAGTACACTGATTCCTGACGTCCTCTATGCTTTCTACTTTGATGGCTTCTTTAAGAAAAATGTAACAACTGTCTTGAAACTGAACCCAGGCAGATGAAGGACAGTCTGTGTGGGAAAAGAGAAACTGTGAAATAACTTGGGAAGAATTCCATGAATTCCTAAAGATAAAGATACTAGATATTAAATTTTCAAATAAAAGAATTTAGACACAAAGCTCTGTTAAAATAAGAAATCAACTAGTGTGATAGGAATTTATTTTTCTCCATTCTACATATGGGAAAAGAGAAATGTGCCAATGATTCTCTTCTGATTTGACAGAGCAAAGTTACAAGTCTTTAGGGTGTTTAGGAACTCAGACTTGTAAATTACAGAATTATTACCACGGCAACAAACTATCCAGAAGGACAACCAGTCAGAATTACAAGCTCTTTTTGAAGGTTATCTTTGCAGTATTTAGTAACAATTTCAAAAGTCCCAAGAGTTTTGCAAGAGCTTTTTCTAAAAATTATACTTCCAAAGCGGAGAAGAGACAAGTTGCGAGATTATGAATATTCAGACAAGTTTTCCTCTCGCACAGGAAAACAAGGTTGATGTTCTTATGAATGTTCTCAATTTAAGACCTCATCAAAGCAGATTCTTTGAACTAATTCTATGAAACAGAACCGTATCTCCTCCTCTGTAGGTGCAGAGTGGAATGGCACCTCCTTCTCTATTTTGATCTTTTTTGTTGTTGTTCATTATAAATGTGTACATTTTTAAGTCTTGGCTCTGGAATTTCATTAGTTAGCATGAACTTACTTTCAAAAGTAAGCCTTGAAGAGCTTGATTTCACAGGCCAGAATGGAGAAAGGGGGAGGATTTTACTGAATTCCAGTGAATAAAAAGAGCTTAATTTTCCCTATTCTCTTAGGTCTATGTAGGGAAAGTCACTATGATTTTTACCTAGCTTTATTTTTAAGTTCTGTATATATTGTAATTTTAATATAAACAAGTAAAAGAACGCCCTACCACAAAGATCAGAACTTAACCATCAGCAATGTTAATATAAATTCAACAACCTTGAGTTTACTAAACTCAGAATATGGCAGAGAACATTAGTTGTCCCCTACTTGAACCCAGCACTTTTTCCCCCCTGTGTATTTACTCAGTATAATTTTATTTTTATTTTTTATTTTTTGTGAAGGTCTTTTGACCTCAGCTTCTCATACAGCACAGAACATGTCCACCAAGCTAAGTTGTTTTCCAGTCTTCCAGCAACTTCTGGATAATGAGCTGTGAGCTGAAGTGACAGGTGCAAATTGCCTTTAAAAGGAAGGAGTATGCTCCCTGGATCATACACCTTCCCTTTCCCACTGGCCAAAATGCAGTTAGCCACCTTTAATCACGTAAACAATGGAAACAGCCTAGGAATAACAAAGCAACAAGACAGAAGGATCCTACATGGAGCCATATAACACTCAGACTGTTAGGAGAGAAAAAAAATAAACTACTATCTTGTTAAGTTGTCGTTAATTCAGGTCATTGTTAGAGCAGGTGGGTCAATAACCTAAGTAACACTAGAGGCTACTTAAAATTGTCCCCATGGTGCGACCTGAATTTTTCCCGGCCTCATACTGCTACATTTAGTAGTTAAATCATCCAAGATGGGAGCTCCTGCCTGACTGGCTCAGTCCGTAGAACATGCGACTCCTGATCGCGGGACTCTATGTTTGAGCTCCATGTTCAATGTAGAGATTACTTAAAAATAAAATCCTTAAAAAAAAACAAAAACTAAATCATTCAAGATGCACTAGCGTGAGAGTAGGTGTCTCAAGATACAAGTTATTTTGTATACAGGTTTTTTCCTTCCTGCTGTTCCGTAAGTACTTGCGTTACACATGTTGACTACCTTGGCTTTAACTCTGGTAGGAATCTAGAACTTTCTCAGTGTAGTGGCTTAAAGATAGTTGGTAGCGATATTTTACATTTGCTTAATGAAACATTAAGTTAAAAAAAAAAACCTGAGTGTAAAATTATATGTGCAGTATGATCCCAGGAGTTAAAAAGCAAGGAAGTCTAGGAATGTTTAGGAATTGGAGAGGCCAGACACGTCTGGAGGGGCAAGGTTCAGGGAGGGTTTGAAAACAGGGTGTGTTGTTGAAAGTCTGTAAGTGGAGCAGCTAGGCCCGTAGACCCTCTTCCTGAGAAACAGTACTCAGCCATCGTACTTTCACTATATACCTCTGCTGCCCTCTTTGAAAGTCTGGTCCTTACTCAAAGGAACTCTTTTAGATTTAACATATAAGTGCAATTATACAGTATTTGTCTTTCTCCGTCTGACTTACTTCACTTAGCATAATACCCTCCAGGTCTATCCATGTTGTCACAAATGGCAAGATTTCGTTTTTTTATGACTAATATTCCATTGTGTGGTGATGTATATATCTTTATTCATCTATGGATGGACACTTGGGTTGCTGCGTATCTTGGCTACTGTATGTAAATAATGCTCCAATAAACATAGAGATGCATATACCTTTTTGAATTGTCTTTTGTTTTGGGGGGTAAATACCCAGTAGTGGAATTCCTGGATCATATGGTAGCTCTATTTTTAATCTTTTGAGGAACCTCCATACTGTTTTTCACAGTGGCTGCACCAGTTTGCATTTCCACCAACAGTACGTGAGGGTTCCTTTTTCTCTACATCCCTGCGAACACCTGTTATTCTCAAGGTATTTTTAAATTTCCTCTTTGATGTCTTCCTTGACCCACTGGTTGTTTATAGTAGCATGTTGTTTAGCCTCCACGTTTGCGGAGGTTTTTTTTTCCATTTTTTTTTGTACTTGATATCTAGTTTCATACCAGATGTTTGTTGGAAAAGATGCTTGATAGGATCTCAATCTTTTTAAATTTATTTGAGACTTGTTTTGTGACCTAACATGTGATCTATCCTGGAGAAAGTTCCATGTGCACTTGAAAAGAATGTATATTCTGCTGCTTGGTTCCTTTTATGTCTATTAAGTCCATTTGGTCTGATGTGTTGTTTAAGGCCGTGGTTTCCTTATTGATTTTCTGTCTCGATGATCTGTCCATTGATGTAAGTGGGGGTTAAAGTCCCCTCCTATTATTGTATTGCTGTCAATCTCTCCCTTCGGGTCTGTTACTATTTGCTTTATATATTTGGGTGCTCCTGTGTTGGGTGTACAGATATTTGTAACTGCTATATTCTCTTGCTGGGTTGATCTCTTTATCATTATGTCATGCCCTTCTTTGTCTATTATTATAGTCTTTGTTTTAAAGTCTGTTTTGTCTAAGTATTGCTACCCAGCTTTCTTTCTTTCCATTTCCATTTGCATGTAATGTCTTTTTCCATTCCTTCACTTTCAGTCTACATGTGTCTTTAGGTCTGAAGCGAGTCTTGTAGGCAGCGTATAGATGGGTCTTGTTTTTTTTTTTTTTTTTAAGTAAGCTCTATGCCCAATGTGGGGCTTGAACTCACAGCCCAAGAACAAGAGTTGCATGCTCTACCAACTGAGCCATCCAGGCAGGCGTCCTGGTCTTGTTTATTTTTTTTAAATCTGTTCAGTCACCCTATGTCTTTTGATTGGGGCATTTAGACCATTTACATTTATAGCAATTACTGATAGCTATATCCTTACTGCCATTTCTTTAATTGCTTTCTGGTTGCTTTTATAGTTCTCTCTGTTCCTTTCTTCTTCTCTTGCTCCTTCCCTTGTGATATGACTTTCTTTAATGTTATGTTTGGATTCCTTTCTCTTTATTTTTGTGTACCTATTATACATAGGTTTTTGGTCTGTGGTTACCATGAGGTTCATATATATGCATTCTATGTATATAGCAGTCTATTTTAAATTGATAGTTGCTTAAGTTTGAACACATTCTAAAAGCACTACATTTTTACTCCCACATTTTATGCCTGACACCATAATTTACAACTTTTTGTGTATCCCTTAACTGTAGATATAATTGACTTTACTACTTATTTTAACCTTCATACCAACTTTATAAGTAGTTGATCCACTGCTTTCACTATATATGTTTCCTTTTACCAGTGAAATTTTTTCTTTCATAATCTTACTTCTATTTATGGCCTTTTCTGCTTAAAGAAGTTCCTTGAAAGTTTCTCGTAAGGCCAGTTTAGTGGTGATGACCACATCTCTGCCCTTCCTACCCTTCCCAATGTGGTTTTTTTTTTGTTTTTTTTTTTGCATCTTTAGTTGTGGAAGAGCTGCTGTGCCAGTATTCAGGTTGTTCTCAGAGACCACTGATCTATATGTTGTTATAACCTTACCGTGTCCATGGAAGGAGTTGAGCTCAGGATCCTCCTACTCTGCCATCTTGATCCTCCACCCTCTGGTGTTTCTTTAAGTACAGGTCTATTACAAACTCCCTCAGTTTTTTATTTTCTGCAAATATCTTTATACTGCCTTCACATTTGAAGGATATTTTTGCAAGTACAGAATTCTAGATTGTCAGCTTATCTTTTATTAAGATGTAATTTTATTGTTTTGACTTCCACCATTCTAATTGAGAAATCAGTGGTCTGTCTGATTGTTGCTCTTTCTGGCCGCTTGCAAGATCTTTTCTTTGTTTTTCAGCAGTTTGAAAGTGGTATGCTGAGTGTGTGTGTGTGTGTGTGTGTGTTTTAAATCCTGCTAATAATTCAGTGCACTTATTGAATCTATGGCTTATTTTCATTGGTCTCTTTTGTAAAGTTCTTGGCCATTGTTACTTCAAATAACACTTCTATTCCATTTTCTCTCTCCTCCCTTTCTGGGACTCAAATTATGTTTATGTTAGACTTTTCACCATGTCCCAAATATTCCCTTTGCTCCTTTCCATATTTTTAATACTTTTGGCTCTCCATACTATAATCTTGTTCCTTCTGGTTTACTAATCTTTTTTTTTTAAAGAGATTTTATTTATTTATTTGACAGAGAGAGACACAGCGAGAGAGGGAACACAAGCAGAGGGAGTGGGAGCGGCAGGCTCCCCACTGAGCCCGATGCGGGGCTCGATCCCAGGACCCTGGGATCATGACCTGAGCCGAAGGCAGATGCTTAACGACTGAGCCACCCAGGCACCCCTCTGGTTTACTAATCCAC